ATCTGTCCGTCTGTCTGTCTGTTTGTATGCAATCTAGTCTCTCAGTTTTCGAGATATCCGGATAAAATTTGGTAGGTGGGTGTATTTTTATAATGTATTAATCATTTGTCGGAACCGGAAGAATCGGACCACTATAACATATAGCTCCCATACAACTGATTGTTCAGATATGAGATTTTTCATTATAACTTCTCCATTTATGCAGCTACGAACATGAAATTTTGCAATACTTGCACCCATTATCAACAGAATACTTACAGTGAAAATTACAAAGATCGGGTCACTATAACCTATAGCTCCCATACAACTGATTGTTCAGTTATAAAATTTTGCGTTATAACTCCTCCAGTTATATAGCTGGGAACAGGAAATTCCGCACTGTTTTCAATAATCATCAACAGAAAACTTACAGTGAAAATTAAAAAGATCGGATAACTATAACCTATAGCTCCCATACAACTGATTGTTCAGATATGAGATTTTTCGTTATAATTCATCCATTTATGTAGCTAGGACCATGAAATTTCGCGTTGTTTTCACTCATTATCAACAGAAGACTTACAGCGAAAATAACACAGATCGGGTCACTATAACCTGCAGCCCCCATACAACTGATTGTTCAGATATGAGGTCTTTTATCATATCTCCTCCATTTATGCAGCTAGGAACATGAAATTTCGCACCATTTTCACTCATTATTAACAGAATACTTACAGTGAAAATAACAAGGATCGGATGACTACAACATATATCTTCCATACATCTGATTGTTCAGATATGGGATTTTACTGTAAAACTCCTTTATTTGAACAGCTAAAACCGATAAATTTCGTAAGATATTTTATAAATAATAATACAAAGTCTACTGAGAAAATCGTCAAAATCTATGCTGTATAAGCTTTATCTCCTATATCACTGATTGTTAAGATACCAGTTTTTGCCATATATCTCCTTTATGTACGAAACTAAACCCAATAAATTGTGTTACCGGTTTACATACCGATCACATAGCGGTGAAAATCACTTAGATTGGTGTCATATAAAGTATATCTGCCATACCTCTGATTGTTTAGATGCGATTTTTTATATAAGTATGTAACTCCTCTATCGATGTATGCAGATGTATTCAAAAGCAGTAATCTGTCAAAGTAAAATTTGCAGATGTTCATGAAAGGTATGAAGCCTTCGGCATAGCCGAAGACAGCGCTGCTCTTACTTGTTTTTATTTTATTTTCTGTCTTTATTTGAAAGTTTGGTTTTAGATTGCCAGATGAATTACATTTAATTTATAAAAAATTATATTTATGTGGCATATTTGTAGGGAATTTATTAAAAAATTAAATAACAGCATGATTCTCTCACGGCTCTCTTTGCACTTCGAAATTTAACTTAGAAATCAAAAATCTATAGTTCTCAAAGTTTCTAAGTGAAGTTGTTATTTTGGGTAGCTAAAAAAAAAAACCATTACAAAGTTTGTATAAATAATTTCTGTAGTTACATATTTACATATCGATGCTCCTCTGTAATAACGTCACAATTCAAAAAAAAAACAACTCTTACTATTGAACAGTGGCACATGACTCCAGTCCTTGCCTAATGTGTACTAAGTCCCTAATGACTGCTTTATAAAGATTTAGTAAGTATTAGACAAATATTAGAGGCATATGCTATTGTTCAGCTGTAAGAGTGGTTTTTCTAAGTCTTTAGTTGTGTCTTTATTGCAGAAGCATGAGTAAAACTTAATTCTAGGAAAATTGTAACTAAGGTATTCTTTTTATACATAAAGGGCAATTACTTCATAAATATTAACAGCAGTCTATGTATGTATATGGTTGTTGAAATACGCAAAATATAAACGTAAGTATATCTTCTGAGAAGTTTTATTGTGATTTCCGGTTCGTTGACACTTTTGACTTATGACATACTCTACACATATTTTAGATATTCTGCTCAAGCAAACTAATAATTCAATTAATTTTGTAGGTGTACTCTAGCAACGTCGACACCGGTTAATGTCAATCAACGCCTATGATTCGATTGTTTATTTATAATTCGTCGGCTACGCCATCGCAGACTATTAGTCTGGAAGAGCCATTGGCAGTCTGCCGCGTTGCAAAGAGTCAGCCATTTCCATTCTAACCGCGTCCAGATGGCAGGTTCACGGTAAAAGTTGTATTAGACCAACTGGCAACAGACAGGTATGTATGTATGTATCGCGATTAGTGCTTTGTATGCACGTTTGCCATAGCACATCTTCATTTAGTGATTTAGGCGATACTACATATACATATGTACACTGAGAAAAATTATTAGTTTCGACAACTAAAGATATTTAGTTCCCGAATTTGACAATATTTGGGAACTATTAACTTGGGTTGGTAATTATAACTAAATATATTAAAAGTTCTAATATTCATCTAGGTTGTACCAAATCGTTAATTTAGTTGAAGGGTTTGGTAAATACTAATAAATATTTCTTTGAAGCATATTTCTACACAGTAAAAAATTTAGTTTAATTTTAATACCATTTTGGTGTTTATATATAACAATGACAGAAAGTATTAGATTAAAACCATACTGGTTTCAGCAAAGAGAGGGAGAAAAGATTGAGAGAGTATGTATTCTTGCTATTAAATTAATAATATATTTGGAATTAATTCAAATAAGATTTTGTTCTTAGAAACAAACCATGGGTCTAAATTCTATGGTTTTTGGGGGTTTAAAATAAAACTGAAAAGGTTTTGGATCTATTTGGAAATTGGAATAGATTTGATACTTTCTGGAATTAAATCAAAGCCAAAATTGGATTAGATTTAGTATATCGTTCGTATTAAAAGTAACTTAAATAGTTTTGGATCTATCTGATAATTGGAATAGATTTAATCGTTTATGGAATTAAATCTAAACCAAAGTTGAATTAGATTTAGTATATTGTTGGTATTGAAAGCAAACCCTTAAAGGGTTTTTTCAATGCGTACAGTGCTCAACAAATTTACAACCCCGTTAATAAATTTGGATTTTCTGGCAAGTTGTACAACTTATCGCTACATTAATGGCCATGTTGTACAAACTCATTTAATTTTCGTTTATTTTGTACACTAAATAACCGAAAGTGGATAACTCAGCCGGAATAGTTACGTGCTTTCGTTGAATTTTATAAATGTAAGCCGAAACTATGAAATTGTAAAAATGAGATTTTACAATGAGACTGCTCGCAAAATTGCAATGTTTGTGGGCAAAACGTCCAACTTTTCGGCTTGCATTATGTCAAAAGGATGTGCTTGTTGTAATTCATTCTGTCATTTACTACCATTATGCGTAGGCCAATTCATGAAATCATTTCATGCGTTTGAGTAGAAACTGAATGAATGAACTCCATTTCATGATTTCAATTAACGCGAAATAGAGTTTATGCACTTATGTAGTTTTTACTCAGATCGATGAAATGATTTCGTGAATTGGACTACGCATACATGTGATACTTATGCTTTTAATTTATAAGGTAATTTTATGTTTTTATACTCTTGCTACCACATGAATATATGAATTCGTGATAAGAATATATGAATTCGCCTAGGAAGATAGAAAACGAGGAATTTGTCTTCTTTCAACTAAAATAAATGCATTTTGCAAACAAAAGTGCGTACGCTACTAAGTGCTACTACTAAGGTAATGGCGAATTTGTTAAACACACAATTACTTCCATTACAACCCGGTCCTATGGATGCTAAAGCGCGAATTCATATAAGGTGGTGTTACCGGAAAATGAATAAATAAATTATATGTATATCAGAAAATTAATAAGATGAAATGAAATTATTGTTTGATTTCTAACCAAACCTATGTATGTAACTCAATCGCCTAATCGTTTGCCGAACCGTAAACATATGTTTACACATCCAATTTCATGAGTAGGTACCTGGTACTCACACCGTTTTTAAGAAGTTTCACTTCTATCATGTGTACGGTGTTACACACTCATTTTTTTCATATAGCGTATTATATTCGCCAATTTTAGATGGAAGAAATAAGTTCAAATCGAAAATGTTTAGTGTTACACACGCATTTTTTTTTATTATAAAAGGAGCTTTTAGTGTGGTCCATATATGAAGATTAGTTATTGAAAAATATAAGAAGCCAAGTAGGGGTTAAATTCACTCACGTTTTATCTTAGAATTGTGCCTCTTACTATATAGAAGAAAATGCTTAGCACCGTCAGCCAAAAACAATATTAAAAATGAACGCGATTTCCCAGCGTCTTGAAATTTTCACTTTTACCTACTTAAATTTAATGGACAACAAAACTGCATACCAAAAAATTCTGAACAAAAAGTTTAAAATTTTTGGCCGTAATTGTTAAAGTTTGTTAAATTTTTATAACTTTTGTAAGAAGTTTGAAATGTAGATTTATGTGGTTGTGGTTAGATAATGTGCTAGACTTTTATAAAAAATAAAACTATAAACATTAGGTTAACAAAATAAAAAACCAAAACTGGTCAAAATNTTCTGAACAAAAAGTTTAAAATTTTTGGCCGTAATTGTTAAAGTTTGTTAAATTTTTATAACTTTTGTAAGAAGTTTGAACTGTAGATTTATGTGGTTGTGGTTAGATAATGTGCTAGACTTTTATAAAAAATAAACCTATAAACATTAGATTAACAAAATAAAAAACCAAAACTGGTCAAAATGTAACTTAACTTATCAGCTGACCACAAGGGTGTATAGATAATGGGCGAGTCCGCGTACCCCCCTCCTCCGCTGCGTCCACCTCAACAAACAAATAAAGCTTATCAGCCNTCAGCTGCCCACAAGGGTGTATAGATAATGGGCGAGTCCGCGTACCCCCTCCTCCGCTGCGTCCACCTCAACAAACAAATAAAGCTTATCAGCCCTGTAAACCTACTTCTGACAACTGTCCCACACATATCTGTCACGGGTGGGACATGCTTCTCTGTTGAATTATTTTTATCTTACTACGTGTAAACGACAATGCAATTGTGGTAAATTTTTGCAATGAATTTCTTACATTATGTAACAAACACGAAACACAACCTCAATTTCCGTAATTTAATATAACAACCTTAAGCTTTTTTTGTCACGGGTGGGACAAGACCAATACTGCTTAACAATAACTCATAATAATACAGATAAAGCAGTCACACAGTTTAATATATAACACAATTTTATTAAAAGCAGATGAGCTCTACTATATATTTTTCATACCAAACACTTGAATTAGGAATCGCAAATTATTTGACAGCGCATTCAACACAACCTAATTTAAACTCAATCAAAAAATTTACTTAGAACTTGATTTCAAAACGTAAAAAAGGTAATAAAAATGCATTTAAAGCTTTAATTTGTTATTTTTTGGATGATTTTTACAAAAGTCTTATCCACAGGTTTGTTAGTTTTATAAAGAAAATAATTTTTACACTGAGGTTCACTTTACCATGGAACCTCCCATATGTATGTATATGCTTTTTCAGTGCCACATATGAAAATTCCATAAAAAGGCCTATATGTATATGGACAATCCCAAGTCAACGAAATAGAAAAAAAAAATAGAAACAGATATTTAATCAGTCAATATTCGGTTAGCATTGAGTTTTCCATATACATACATAATAATAACATAATAGATTGGCGCTTACACAATATGTTTGAGTTTGGCAGCTTCTCCTCTGATTTGTGGCGTGCGCCTTGTTGTCGTCATACAAAGGGGAGGGAGCTACAGTTTTACACCGCCTCCGAACGGCGATAGTATTTTTATGAGAAGGTTTGTCAGTGCCTGTCGAGGGGCACCCGCTATTAGGAAAAACTTTTTCGTTTCTGTATTTTTTTATGTTAGTCGGAACCTGGTCTTGAACCCAAGCCCTGCGGAGTGGCAGCACGCACTGCTAACAACTACACCAAAGTTTCCGCCATATGCATACATACTGTAGGGCACTTGCTAATGTTATATATTTACTTTTGATGAGTAATACTTTGTATTATTATTATTTAAGAAATTGAAGAAACTTTGTAATATTATGTTTTTCAAAATGCAAATTTTTGAAATTTATTATAGATTTTCTCAATCAATGTGAAATAGAATTTTTAATTTAATTTTAAATAAATTTTATATTTGGGAAAACAAAAACCTACAATTAATAACAATAATACAAAGTATTACTCATGAAAAGTAAATATATAACATTAGCAAGTGCCCTACACATACATATAATATATATCGATGGTCCTCTGCAACAACTCAAATTTCATATTTTTCAATAGAACCAATTAAAAAGTTTGGGTTTCGTATTTTAGCAATAATATGTCTTGGAACGTTATTGTTCCGGATTATTCAGTCATTCTGTAGGGAAAATTTTAAAGCTTTCCAATTATGACATCTTTTTAAAGTTTTGGTAAAGTTTACACTGAAAAAATACGAAAAAAGTAACAACTCCTAAGTAGTTAAACGAAAATACTTAACTCTACTGGTATTACTGAACAACGGCACAATACGAAAAATGTCGTTGCTTCCCATAAAAGCATCACTAACTTCTCGAAAATTTTCTGACTTACGCCAATATTCACGACAAATGTGAGGCATGTGAAATTGTTAGTAGTAAGGGTTATTTACTTCAGTTTTGTGACAACTAAGCATATGAAGGGGCTAGAATCATAAGGGTCTAAGTGAAATTTTTTTAAAAAATATAAGTTATACCCATATTTGTATAGTTAAATATAGTGTTTATTTGGTGACAAAGAGTAAACATTAACAGAATTTACAATAAGTAATCAACTTTAACCTTAACTAAAAAAAAAAATGAGTGTGTAACACCGTACACATGATAGAAGTGAAACTTCTTAAAAAAGGTGTGAGTACCAGGTACCTACTCACGAATTTGGATGTGTAAACATATGTTTACGGTTCGGCTAACCATTAGGCGATTGAGTTACATACATAGGTTTGGTTAGAAATCAAACAATAATTTCATTTCATCTTATTAATTTTCTGATATACATATAATTTATTTATTCATTTTCCGGTAACACCACCTTATATGAATTCGCGCTTTAGCATCCATAGGACCGGGTTGTAATGGAAGTAATTGTGTGTTTAACAAATAAATGAAAATGTTTATAATGCAATCAATAGATCCTTACGTATTCGCCATTACCTTAGTAGTATTGCATTTATTTTAGTTGAAAGAAGACAAATTCCTTTGTTCGGCATTTATTCTTACTCGTTTTCTATCTTCCTAGGCGAATTCATATATTCTTATCACGAATTCATATATTCATGTGGTAGCAAGAGTATAAAAACATAAAATTACCTTATAAATTAAAAGCATAAGTATCACATGTATGCGTAGTCCAATTCACGAAATCATTTCATCGATCTGAGTAAAAACTACATAAGTGCATAAACTCTATTTCGCGTTAATTGAAATCATGAAATGGAGTTCATTTATTCAGTTTCTACTCAAACGCATGAAATGATTTCATGAATTGGCCTACGCATAATGGTAGTAAATGACAGAATGAATTACAACAAGCACATCCTTTTGACATAATGCAAGCCGAAAAGTTGGACGTTTTGCCCACAAACATTGCAATTTTGCGAGCAGTCTCATTGTAAAATCTCATTTTTACAATTTCATAGTTTCGGCTTACATTTATAAAATTCAACGAAAGCACGTAACTATTCCGGCTGAGTTATCCACTTTCGGTTATTTAGTGTACAAAATAAACGAAAATTAAATGAGTTTGTACAACATGGCCATTAATGTAGCGATAAGTTGTACAACTTGCCAGAAAATCCAAATTTTTTTATCTGTCATACAACCAAGACATAAATTCATTCAACAGGCCCACAAACGATGCAGTCTAGAGCAAAATAACACCAAGTTGAACCAACGGTCGCTACGTTTTTGGCTTTCTTTAAGAAACATCGGGCGAAAATTTCAACTGCTCCTGTAACACTACCTTATATAAGTTGGCCTTGCTATCATCCTCACAAATGTTCATCAGAGTATACCAACGAAGGACGAGTTAATACAAGGAGATAGCGAGAGCACAAAACTACTCTAGAAAATTACACGCACAATGACAAACATGAACAAATGTACAACAAACACATAATTTTTGACAATCAGTACAGTTCGCATTTATATCAACGAGCAGCTTATTAGATTTGTTTTCGTTTGTAGTACATATGTGCATATAAACATACACACAAACACATGTACATACACAAACATATGCACATACGTACAAATATATATAAAACCATTCAAACATATGTACATACATGAAAACATTGCTGTCCATAAGTACATACATATGCCCATCAGTACTTCAACGAAGCCCGTTTGCTTCATCATAAATATATCCATACAAACATATGTACATATGTACGAATGGATGTAGTTACGCGAAAAACGCTTGCATCATTTATACATATATTGCTTAGTAGCGGCAGAGCTGAAATGCGCAACGAGCTCGTATTCATACATACGTGCATTCAAACATACATACATAGTTATATACATATGTAGGTACTGGCACCCGTCATGCGTCGCTATATTTCTTTTTCCCCTTCCCTATACTGCCTATATCTTCCTTCTCACTCCTGTAACGTTTTCAGTTTTAAAAATTTCACTCTCCATTTTTGCGATACCGCCGCCTAAGAAGTTTCACTTCAAAAATCAGATCTACTTAGATTCTTTTGGTTCTAACCTCTTCATATATCGATTTGTCACAGAAAAATGTATTTATTTATAAACCTAACCCGATTTATAACCAAAACATGAACTTTTGAGTTATTACAAAAGACCATCGATATGCTTTTTTACCTTCCTTTTATTAGCTCGGGATGCAACTATGTAATATTGATGCGCCTAAAAGATGCAGCGATTTCTATTCTCAAGTTACATACCTGATGACAGTACGAATGGCAATTATAATAGGGAGGTTTTAGTTTTTTAAACTATAATTTTATTTTCAGTAGGTACAGTTTTTTTTTCGGTGTTGCCTGCGGGTACTTTTTTATAAAATTTTGATAAAAAACGTTATTTTTTGGATTGTTTTTCATAGCCGTATTAAAACATTTTATAAAATATCAAGAACAATATGTATATGCCGAAGCAATCGCTGGCGCGTCCACTAATCACAGGTTTCGCTATTTTTTCTTAGAGCTTATGCTCATCAACTCTTCCAAACACGCTGAAAAATGTCGATTAGCTTACTTTAAAGCAATATTTTTTTGTCGGATATTTCCCGTGACAGCGACTGCAACACCACTCAATATACTTCAAAAGTGGAGTACGATGAACGTAATTCGAAAGACAGCAATGTCNGAAAAAGAAGCAATATTTTAAAGCAATATTTTTTTGTCGGATATTTCCCGTGACAGCGACTGCAACACCACTCAATATACTTCAAAAGTGGAGTACGATGAACGTAATTCGAAAGACAGCAATGTCAAGTGCATAAACAACGCTCCCGATATCAGTCAATGCAACCTTCCCCAAAGCAGCGACTGCATGCCGCATTCATCCAACAGCTAGTTGCACGGTCCAAACAGACGATATCGTTCATTCGACCCGCCATTGAAAAGAGGCGTAACGAATATCACTCATTAGCGTTCTCGGAAAGCGCGATAAGAAAAGCAACAACAATTACAAAGCAAAAGCATTATAGCGATAATTTCGTTGTCGACGCTTATGTTTTGTTATTGTTGAATGCGTGTTTC